TTATGTAATTAGTATATACAGTCTTAAAAAATTAATTCCCAATCTTGCAAAGGGTATCTTCAGGTATTTTAAGTATTTTCTTAAGAAACTACTACTACAAGGACTTACTTTTTGTCATCAGACAGGTCAATGTTGGTCCCAAACTTTATGGTTTTAAAGGGTCCTTTCCTCCTCCGCCCAGAACTTAAAAAAAGAGAGACAATATTTTAAACATGTCTTTTAATAATAAATACTAAGTGGACATTCAAAATTACTTACTTATCTGAAGATGTGGATTCACTATCAGAGTGCTCTTTATGGTGACTTCTTTTTTCATTTTCTTCCTACAGATTAAACAAAAATCATGCCAGCTTAGTATGTCACAACAGGCTATTGTAACACATACACATAAACAGTTTACATCTAGCTTGAATGGTAAATTTCTATAATTCTCATTCACATGAAAACTTCATTATAGATAGCATTAAATAAAGATTCAAGAGAAGTCAAACCTCACTGGCATAATATTCAAACTCCTCCAACAGCCATAAAACATCATCTTTGTGTTTTTCCTTAAAACATTCTTCTATAAGGTGAAAGGAGGGCCAAAACAGGTAGGGCAGGTCGGGAAGCAGTGGGAGCTGGCATTTGGAGGGCCAGAATGAGTAGGCCAGAAAGTGGGAGTGGAGCAGTTTGGAACAGCTAACGGAGATGAACTTGTCTGTCAGTTTGTTGTCCTGTGGCAGCTTAAGTGCTGCTGTGAGGTTGGAGGCTATGCCACCAATGTTTCAAATGCCAACAGGGTTACCCAAGGTGGACAGGTTTCAGTGGAGCTTCCAGACTAAGACAAGACTCGGAAGAAAGAGGCCATCCACTTCTCAAAGAACTGGCCAGTGAAGACCTTATGAATAGGAGTAAAACACTGTATGATAAACTATGGAAAAACTTTATGACTAGCCCTGAAACATTACCATATATGGTGCTGGAAGATGAGCACCTCAGGTCAGAAGGCACTCAAAATATGACCAGGAAAAAGCTGCCTCCTCAGAGTAGAGGCCACCTTAATGATGTGGATGGAGTAAAGCTTTCGGGACCTCCATCTGCTGATGTGACACAACTCAAAACAAGAAGAAACAGCTGCAAACATTCATGAATAATAGGAACATGGAATGTAGGAATAATAGGAACATGGGTAATTATAGTGGGGATGTGTGAAGTATGAAACTAGGAAAATTAGAAGTTGTCAAAAATGAAATGGAATACATAACGATCAATATCCCAGGCATTAGTGAGCTGAAATGGACTGCTATTGGCAATTTGGAATCAGATGATCATATGATCCACTATGCCGGGAATGACAAATTGAAGAGGAATGGCGAGGCATTGAAAAAAATGTTTCAAGATCTACCCTGAAGTACAATTCTGTCAGTGATAGGGTAATATCCATACACCTGCAAGAAGACCAGTTAATACTACTATTATTGAAATTTACGCACCAACCACCAAAGCCAAAGATGAGAAAATTGAAGATTTTACCAACTTCTGCAGTCTGAAATTCACTGAACAAACAATCAAGATGTGCTAATTATCACTGGTGATTGGAATGCAAAAGTTGGAAACAAAGAAGAATCACCGGCACTTGGTAAATATGGCCTTGGTGACAGAAATAACACTAGAAATTGCATGACAGAATTTTGCAAAATAAATGACTTATTCATTGCAAATATCGTTTTCCAACAACAAAAACAGCGGCAATACATGAGGACTTCGCCAGATGGAGTGCATGGAATCAGACTGACTACATCTGTGGCAAGAGGCAATGGAAAAGCTCAGTAT